GAGCGCATGGAAGTCATCGGACAGACCGTCGGCTATCAGATCCGGTTGGAGAGCAAGTGAGCCATCGATACATCCATTTGTTGAGCGAATCCATGATTAGTACTAATCTTGGGATCCATTGATAGGGTTTCGCGAACTCTACTGACGTTCTGCACGAATGGTGTACTCCTGCGGACACTAATGGGCGGCGAAAATGCGTTACAATCCGTGACGTCATCGTCGACGAGATCCAGGAGAGCGACCGCTTCTCCGAGTTTTTGCGTTAATTATAACAATAAAAAAGAATTAAAAAAATAAATGTTTATAAATTCTAATTTGTATAAGTGTATGAATAATAGATTATTTTTAACATTAAGTATAGATTTTTGAAAATTCTCATTATAAGTAATATAACCTTAAAATGAATATAATAATTAGCATGATTAAGCAAACTTAATAAAATAATTTATATTTCAGAGTAAAGGTATGATTCCGATGTCATCTAACAGTCTCTTTACTATCCTGCAGAAACCTACCCATCTTACCCACTCGCACACATCTATGCAAAACTGATACACAATACAATATACAGGGTGTCACATACATTTCACAAATTTTATTTCCAAAAATTAAATTTCAATTTAATTACAATTTAATAAATAATATCATCAATTGTTAAGGGAACGGTGTTATACCTTACGCAAAAATATTTTTCGATGTTTAGATCTGTCAAACTTGTTCTGCGCTCTGAGAGTATATAATTTAATTGTCAGAATGCGCGCTCAATTTCGGAACTCGTAAGGGCGCATATTTAAAATATGGTTTCAGTTCTGTGTTTCCGGTGTTAAACTTTTTGATGTCCGGGTTTTTATCCAAACTACTTTTAAGCTTTTCTTGTGCGTACTTTTTCAAGTTTTTATAGACAGTATTCAAAATATTCATTTGTTTTTCTCTTGTCTGTCCTTTCTTATGAATATCTTTTATCCCTTTTGTCAATACTTTAAAATCCAATAAACTTTTAAGCTGTAATTTCAGCTCATCGTTTTGAATCTGTTCTTTCAATTGTATAATGGTTTGGTTTTTAATCGGAATTTGATTAATAAATTTACAAACTTCATTGAAGTTGTTCTTTTGCATACCAAAATGCAGTCTCTAAGAAGGTCCCCCAGCGGGTGGTGCTGAACCTCGGCGGGAGAGTTACATCTTTGTTGACACATTGGTTGCGAAATTCTTGTCTCCGTTTAGGAGAATTCTTGAAATATGACTTCATATTAAGCATAAAACTCTCAAGTTTATTTTCCTTTCTTATTGTGTCACAAACTCGGTGAAATGCATAAGCAAGGCATGTCACGTGTAACATATTTGGAAACAAGTCCGCTTTGGCGTCCTTAACAGCCCGAACCATTGTCTCTGCCTGATCTGTTACACAGAGTTTCACTCTATCATACGGTATGCCAACCGTAGCGCAAGTCTTAAACATTGCTTTGTAAACAGTGTCTGCATTACAAGCGTCGAGAACTTGAGTTGAAACTAAATATGGATTACCAGATTTAGTGGCATCAAGTACGCAAACCAGACAACTGAATACAATTCTTCCACACTTCGTGGTATATTCATCAAACATTAAATATACATTGTTTTGGCCAATTGAATCAATAATCTTCTTAAGCATTGATTTGAATACCATTGGTACATAATTTTGTCGTAATTGGTTAGCCTGTGGTATTTCTTGACCACAAAACTCTTTAATCCATTTTCGCATTTCTGTATTATTGAGGGCTTCCATTGGGATTCCGGCTGACATAAAACCCATAACCATAGCAAATATAAATTGTGTTCTGTATTTTGTGTCCCCTTTCTTAATTTCACACAAATTTTCTGTAGACCTCCGTTTGTTAGAGTTGTTTGCATTCAAATTCTTGAGATGAGTCTCATTTTTTGCGTGTTTTGCAAAATCTGAAACTCCTGATCTGTGATTAAAATTGTCATAGAATTTATCACATGGTTTGCACAATAGTCTGTTGTTTACAATACAAAAATTGCTGTCATTTGCTCAAATCTTTTGCATTGCAATGAATTTAAGTTCGGCATCAGTTTTGTTAACATTTATTAATGGCAAACACTGTTTACTAAATCTTTCCATATTGTTAACAATTTATTATCAAAACAATAAAAATTTTATTTCGACACAAAAATACTGTTCACTTGAATGAAAAGAGATTTAAATGTAATGAAGAAAATTGTGGCAAAATATTCACTCAAAAATCACATCTAAGTCAACACAAAGCCATCCATTCAGATGAAAACTAATTGTTTGTTAAAAACTCAAAGTATTGTTCACTTAAATGAAAATAATTTAAATGTAATGTAAATTGTGACAATAAATGCTAAACAAATCGCATGCTTTTCAATAAACATGTTTTTAAGCTTACAATCAATATAATCTCAACACTATCTGATCACTCAGTATATTGAATTCCTTATCAGTAATGTTTGTTTAGTGTCGATATGGATTAAGAGTAAGCATGTGATGTTAGGCTAAAATTTTTATGCAGTGGAATAGTGGCCCTGCATCTAACCCTGATGAATTGAGATGGAGTCATGTAAGTTACCAAGCTCAAAACAATTTAAGCATAACCATATACAGTATTAAATTATTAAAAATCATTCAATTTAAGCAATCCATATTTTAAAATTAATCACAGAATTAAATGAGCTATACATAATATTTACTATAATGCTAGGAAATGATAATTTTAATTATTTTTAAACATTATAAATAGATGGTCATAGCATGACCGACATTGAATACACCTGGGGCAAAGGTGCCGAGTCCATTGGCTACTCAAAATCATTTGAACATGGTGACCATCAATTAGTTGAGGCCGTTAATCGTGTTGAAACTGTTTCATTGTCATCAGGTATATTTTATTTATTGTAGAAAGTTTTAATTAATGTTAAAATATTTTTCATTTAAATTACCAGGACAATATTCGCGAATTATGGCTGCTTTTAAATTCAACCCTAAAAATTAAAGCCTTTATCGGATTATGACTACACCTACTTTCCAGTAGTATATCCAGTTAATTTTTCAATATTTTTTGACTTTGTTAATCTTAAAATTATCATAAATGTTTGCAGGCTAA